AGCAAAATACAACGCTCGAGAGCATCATCAGTACCCGCACTCGTGATGGCGAGTGCGGTCTCAAAATCGGTAAGCACATCACAGTAGTCTATGTCATCATGCAAATGAGAATGTTTCCCATTGTCAGACACAGAAAAAGTAGCATGTTCATCACCAGCACGCAGAATCAATTTACCACTATGCACATCAATAAGCGCCTTGGCGGTGGCGAGAAACGGTCTACCCAAAATCAAAGGAATATCCACATCCTCATTTATATCCAAAATAACAAAATCAACAGGATATGTGAATGCACCCACATTAACAAGCAAGTCCTCAATGATACCCCTAGGATGCACGATAGAACGATCAGCTAACTGAATGCTCATCCTAGTAGCTCTAGGCTCACCTAGGTCTAGCTTCTTGAACAATTTATAGGGCATGACATTTATGCTAGTGCCTAGGTCCGCCAAGGACTTTCCTACATGCATGCTGCCAATAACAAGAGGGATAGTGAAACTCCCTGGGTCTTTGCGCTTCTCTGGCAGCTTGTTCTGCAGGATGGCAGAACACTCCTCGCTGAGCATCACTGTCGAAAGATCCCCAAGTTTCTTCTTGTTGGTGAGGAGGTCTTTCATGAACTTGGCATACTTGGGCATCTTCGACAGTGCCTCCACGAACGGCATGCTGATGTTGACCTGCTTCAACATTGCCATGAACTTGGCAAACTCTGTCTCCAGCTTGTCTTTATGAAGTCGAGTGGGGAAGGGCGGCTGGGGTGTATGCTCCTTAACCACAGGTTGCGGCTTTGGAGCAGGTGCTGTGCTGCCTTCCCCCACCTCTGCAGTATCAGCTGGAGGTGTTGAAGCAGGTAATGGGTCGCCTCGCTTGGGCTGGGCAGGAGCAGCAGATGTAGTCTTGCCACTCCTGGTGGTGATGGCGTGTGCGGTCTCATGCGGGTCCCGTGGATTGGGGATGGTGGTGGCAGGCAGAGTCCCCGGTGCCCTGGTAGTGTTCTGGCGAGCTAGGCTCCCAATCTGATTCTGTAGATCTTGTAGAATGGCACCTTGGTTCCTCTGGCCTGCCTCTAGTGAGGCTATGTTCTGATCCATCCTTGTGAAGTTTGCCTGACTGGTGGTCATGAAAGCCTACAAAATGTTCTTCAGATCAGACATCTGAGTATCTGGAGCTGCAGCTGCTGGAGGCTGAGCAAACTGGCGCTGGGGCTACTGGAATGGCTGCCCTTGCCTAGGCTGGTAGGGCTGCTGCTGTGGTGGTGGCCCCTGCCTAGCCTGGAAGGGCTGCCTCTGCTGGAAACCACCTGCTGGTGCTGGGAAACCAGGTGGCTTGTTGGTGTTGCTGCTCCAGGCAAAGTTGGGATGCTGGCTCCATCCCTCATTATAGGTACTGCTGTACGGATCCAGGCGCCGAGCATTTGCTATGAAGTCCACCTGCTCTTGGGGAGTAGAGGACTCCCTCATAGACTAACAATCTTCCACCAGGTGGTTCGGGCTCTCGCACCACTGACACTGAGCTACTGGAGGCGTAGCTACACCTCGGCCCGGAAGAAGACTGTTGGGCTGCTTCAACGTCTGCACCAACTCAGCCACCTGCTGCTTTAACCCGGACCTGGCCTCCATAGCATGTACACCCCGGTCCCGGGAGTTCCTGCCTCTGTTGTTCTGCCCCCAGGAGTGGTCTCGGGCAGCCAAGGTACTGATCATCTGGTTCAGCTCGGGTGGAGTCTTAGTAAGGATATCCCCTCCTGGGCATAGAGACTCAATCACCCTCTCGCTGTCTGGAGTGAGGGCGCTGTAGAAGTTCCCTACTGTGAAAGCATCGCTGAAGCCATGATGGGGACACTGCCAGAAGTATCCCATGTACCGCTCCCATGCATCACGAAGTGACTCATCTGGCTCTTGGCGGAAGTGAGTGATCTCCCGCTGAATCTCTGTGGTCTTCGATGCCGGATAATACCGGTGCACGAACTTGTCAGCCAGATCGTCCCAAGAGGTGATGGACAATGGGAGCTGGGTCTCCAACCACCTCTTAGCATTCCCCGCCAGAGAATGGGGGAAGAGGTGAAGGCGAATTGCGTCATCCGGGACACCGTTCAGCTTGAACCCGTTTGTCAGCTGCAGAAAACGGGAAAGATGTACCCGGGCTTCCTCATCCTTCAAGCCATGGAACTGGATAGAGGATGTGATGAGCTGAATCCAGCATGGCTTGATCTCAAAGTTGTTTGCAGGAATGGGTGGATAGAGGATGACCGGGCGGATGTCAGCAATCCGTGGAGTATAGTAGTACTCCAAGGTGGGACCCGGTGGTGGTGGATGATGATGGTTCCCAGCCCCCTGGGGATTTGGGTCGTTCACCAGGATCTGGTTCTGAGGAGGTGGGTTCTGATCGCCTTCCATCTCGTACTCGTCCTCGGAGTCGCTGCTCAATTGGCCGTCTCTGCGCTCCACCATAGCCAGTCTAGCTCGCTGTTGTCTCCGAAGTTGTTTGCAGGTGCGCTCAATCTCAGGATTCAATGGCAGTAAACCTCCCGACTGGCTACGGGTGATGCACTATCTGCACACAATCAAGCAATGCAAACCCGTGAAGGCACAAGTGGGAAGGAACAAACACTCAATGCAAAAAATGAAAATGCTAAAGTAACAGAAATCACTTTTCTTCAACAACCTAGCCGTCCCCGGCAACGGCGCCAAAAACTTGACTCGCTCCTACAGTCACTCTAGAAAATGGCCAAGTGCAACCACTTCCTAAAGCGTAGTATTGCGGGTTTGGGTTTTATTGTCAACCCGGGTCCTAGATGTGATGACTACTCGGTGAATTCTTGTTATTTAGCGGTGAACTTTTAGTGCAACTCAAACAAACAAAACACAAAGCAAGTAAACGGTTGTTGTCAAGTCAAGAGAGGTCACCCGGATATGGTTCCCCCTAGACTGCAGTTAAGTCGGATTGCAATTTACCAAGTTCAGTTTTCATGAAAGTTATACTGCGGAAGGTTCTCAATTAGCCTGAAGTCTCGACTAAAGGTCTCCAGACCCTCCCAATCTGAGTCTCTAGCGGGCGACTAACCTCCACCGGAGTAAACAGATTGAGGCCCTAACGAACCAAACCTCCACTACCGAAGTGAATTCGGTACAGAATAGCGAATTGGCTCCTCGACTAAAGTCACCAATTCGCCACCTTCAATTAAGGGTACTCTATCAACCTAGGCAGATATTCTCATTCTAGGTCAAAGCAGAAACAACAGGAATTTGATCAGGATTCAAGTCATTCAATCATTCAAACCTCAATCGAATATAATCAATTCACAAACTCTGTACTTGGGTTCATACAATCAGACCTAGCATACAAATCTAGGGTTCCCCATACCCAGATGAATGGGGGAAACTACTCCATAGAGAAAGAAGCAAAAGCAGATTCAGACGCGGAAATCATACTGTGAAGATGGATTCCTGCTCCTGGACGTTTAATCGCACTTCTCCAAGCTCAAACCGGGCTCCAATGGTGATGAAGATCGATCTATGGCGCTTGGGAACTCTGGTTCGTCGCTTTCTCTCTCTAGGTATCGCTTTCTCTCTCAAAAACTCGGAACCCTTCAATGTTGGCCTTCTTCTTCCTTATATCAGCTGCCTGGTCGCGATACCCGGTCTAAATACCCGGTCGGGTATATTGGATTTCGACCAAGTATTATCGCAGCGCACCATTTCGTTTAAGGGAGAATCCCCGGTCACTCGCCATAATCCCCGACCGGGGATTTTGCTATTCTGCCCGGGCCCCTCTCTGATTCTCGGGCGCCCAAAAGTGATGACTACCCGGTCGGGTATTTGGCCACCTGACCGGGTATTTTCCTCCTGCAGCCCACTGTGTCCCAACTTCGCTCCTTTCGACCCAGAACTCATTTCTCCGCCTCGATTCCAACGCTGGGACCTGAAATATGACATAAACACACAACCTAGCGTGAAATCGGTTTAAAACACGAGATTCCACATCACAAACGGCTTCAGAATAGGGGTGAAAATATGTGTAATTAACGGTCTATCATAGACATTCTGAAAATAAACCTTACTTCCACTGATTAGTTCTTACATGTTTCTCTTTCAATTTAATAGGAAAATACTACTTGGTAGATGCTGGGTATAGCAACTCTGAAGGGTTTTTAGCTCCATATCGGGGTCAAAGGTATCATTTGAAAGAGTGGGGAGGAGGTAATAGACCATTAACAGCTGAGGAGTACTTCAATATGACGCATGCCACAGCAAGAAACGTTGTCGAGAGGATTTTTGGTATTTTGAAAATGAGATGGGCCATTATTAGAGAAACCAGCTGGTTCTCCCCTGAGGTTGTTACACTATTAGTGAATGCATGTTGCTTGCTGCATAATTTCATCAAGCTGGAGCAGGGAGTTGACACTTTTAAGAGAGATTATAGCGACCAAGAACCTGAGCAGCATCCTTCATCTGTTGTGGAAGAAATTGATCTAGTCTCTGGAGTATGTCCATCACAAAGTTGGACTCATTATAGGGATGCGAAAGCAGTAGACATGTGGGAGAATAGAAGTGGCAGATGATGTATTTTATGTTATTAGTGGTTGTATGTTATGTTTCATGTACTTGCATTTTCTATTTTGACTTTTGCTACATGTATCAGTGGTTGTAACAGTATGCAGTAGGATCTGAATTGTAAAGACATATTTGAATGCTAAATATAATTCTACTTGTTTGTGATATAAAGTGGTTGTGGTATGGTGTGCATTTATGTTCTTTTGCTGTTGTCAATATAGAGTGGTTGTGCTTTGCCACTTGGCAATAAATGCTACTGTCAAAGATGAATGTTGTTGTCATTGAAAGAATGATAATGTAGGTTTTCTTTAAAGAATGCTTTTATGTTTGTTTTATTGTAGGATGGCAAAGAAGAGAAAGCAGGTGATACAAGTTGAAGGAGAAGTTCAGCCTACAGGCCCCTACTTCTCGTGGGATGATAAGCTTAATGCATTGCTCATACAATGCATGGTGGAGTTAGTACAAAGACATCAAGTTGAAAACGGTTCCTTTAAGAATGGGACCTTTTCTGAGCTCCAAACCATGATGGAGGAGAGGGCTCCAGGTTGTGGTGTGCAGGTTGAACCGCATATCCGTAGCAGACACAAGAAGTTAAAGAAGGACTTTCATGCAGTACACTTGCTGAAAAAATCAGAGTGGTTGTGGGTGGGATGTTTCAACCTCTACTCCAACACTAGATGATGACGTTTTTGCAAGTGTAGTTAAGGTAATCTATTACATATATGTATCACGTGGTCTTTGTATATATGTATATTGTTAGTCATTCTCCTCTGATCACAAGTGCCTCATTGTAGGTTTTCCCAAACTGCAAAAATATGAACAGGAAGCCTTTCCCATTCTATAATGACCTATTGAAAGTGTTTGGGAAGGTTGGACCTGCCAATGGAAAGAAGACTGTTGGTTTGACTGATGATGTTGACTCCCCAGTGTTCGATGTACCTGCATTTGTTGACTTGGATGGGCTTCAGACGCCGAGTATAGAGAGGTTTATGGAGGATTTGATAAATGAAGGGATTGAGAGTAAGAGGGTCACTCCTCCATCTCCAGCAGCTGTGCCTCCACCTCTAGCTGCTGTTCATCCAGGAGAAGGGAGCAACAAGAGGGCTAAGAAGATAGAGAGTAAGACCGATGATGCTATTGCTGCTGTAGCTCAGGAATTGTGTGGATTGAAGCCTATCATATCCAAGGCACTAGATGCTCTAGGCACCATTACAGAAGACCGTGAGGAAGACACTGGAAAGGAAGCTGCATTGATGGCTGAGATTGCAAAAATAGAAGGCCTTGAACGCTGCCAAGTGCTAGATGCTTCTATGGCATTAGTTGGGAATGATCGCAAGACAAGACTTTTCTTCTCTCTTGATAATGAGGAGGATCGAAAGTACTTCATTCACAACTTACTGCGTTGAGAAGTGCTGATTCATGGGAGCTATTAGCTATAGTATGTTGTGTCGTATATATGTATGCAGTGTTGTACATTTTGAACTGAACACATATAGTATGGATAGGAAACTCGACCTCTTTTGCAGAGCTGACTCAGAGGAGCTAGCATGCAACTGTTAAAGTAGGAGGTCGATTATTTTTGGAAAGTTTCCAAGCCATTCCAATATGTGTCGAAGAATTGGCTATGTAATCAGTTTAAGTTGTATATTTCTGACTTATTAATATATCCAGGTTGCAGGTTATTTATGTATATATGCTGCATTCTTATAATTTTCTTATCCATTGCTAAAGACTATGGCTTGATCTGTGATATGTAGAAAGCAGTCTTTTTATGGTGAATGATCACAAACTCTACTATCCATGTCTGCAATTTTTTGGGTTGATCAGAAAGCAGTATCAAAGCTACCTAAAGAACTATCTGCAGAAACCAAATTCAAGTATCAAAGCACCTCATTTCATTACTCCTTAAATATTCCATTACACAACTCTGCTTCTCATTAACAACACTCTAACAGGTACACATTAATAGAAACTTACACCAATAAAAAAATCCATGGGATCACTCTAACATAGCACAAAATTGCAGCACTAAGCAACCCTGGATTTTAATTTGAAGCACCCATATAATCATTTGAGCTTTGAACTCCCAGCCTCCAACTGGTCCAACCTGAGCTTAATCGACTTAATGGCAACAACTATCTCTTCGTAGGATGATATCACATTCTTGCTTTCAATTCCAACATCAACACTATGCTTGGACACTCTGTCTAATGCAGCACGAAGATCTGCATTCTCCAGCTGCAAATTCGAAACCATTTCACCAAGTCTTTTCCTCTCCTTGTATAATGCAGCTCTAATGTCATGACATTCAAAATAATCACAGGGCTCCTTCTTCTGTGTCCACAAAACATGCTACGAGTCACTAGCTCAAACAAGACAGAACTAATTCACCTAACAAGCAAAGCTTCGAACACAATTACCAAAACTCAAACCTTAGAGCCGAACAATGGACAACCGAAAAATTTTCGATTCGGGTTGGCAACAGTATGTGAAATTCTTCGAGAAGCTCTCAGCCCGCAGTGGCATAATACCTCTTCATCCTCGTAATAGAATTCATCAATCCCTTTCTGCCCTTTTCCCTTGCTGGCCATGATAGTCTCTCTTGGATTAAGAAACACAAACAACAAATGATATAGCTGCTGGTTCTAATCAACCAGAAAGAGTATAGACAGAGATTCATAAAAAAAACGAGCAAATAAAGAGCTGAGTTCCAAATCTCACCTGAATGTTGCAGTAGCTGTTGGAGCCCGTCGACGGAATTTGCCAACAAATGAGAGTTCGCCGGTAGACAGAGGTTGCCGGCGGAAACGAGATTCCAATAGCCGCCGGAAATAGTTCTCGATCTACAAAGGCAGCTCGTGGGGAAAGGGAGAATGTGAAAACGTCTTTGTGGGCTGCAATTTGTGTGGCACCCATAAAACAAATAATTGTTAATAAGGGCAATAAGGTCATCTCACTTTATATCCTATAAATCTAATTAAACACAATCCATAATAAAATCCATGAAACAAAAAATGGTTTTTCATAAGTCCATAATGAACCCAAAACCCTTATAAGTCCATGGTTTTGGAAAACCTTCGTTTTATCAAAAACTTCGTTTTTCAAATCCACGACGCAAACGACCCGTAAGTTCAAGCTCCTCACACATGGAGCAAACACACAAAAGTCTAAAACGAAAAGCAAAACACACTGAGATGGGCAACGAGTACAGCCTACTCGTCACCAAGATCGTCGAAGTCGATGTCGTTCATGAACGCGTCACCATCAGCAGCTCCATCAGTACCATCATCACCGTCAGCTGGGGCATGGGGAAGTGGAGAGTCATCCCAGGGAGTCCTCTAGACGGGCTGCTCGCCCGGGAGCAGCTGGAGCAGGTGCTGCTGAACCTCCTGCATGCGCCGTGAACGGCGCTTCTCCCGCTCGATGTGGGCGAGAGTCACTCCCTGCTGTGTCTGGAGTATGTCCAGACGCTCATCATAAGCCGCCATCCTGCTCTGGTACGCGGCCTGGTGCTCCGCGTACTATTGATGAAACTGCTTCTGCTGGTCGAGGATCTGCTGGTTCTGGATCCGCAGCTGCTCGAACTGGTAGGAGAAGTAATCCTGGCCCGGGAAAGCGGAGCTGCTACCTCCTGCATGGAAGTCAGTCTGTGGAGGATCAGCAGCAGCGTCCACATCCTCTGGGTGGATATCCTCACCTGCCTCCTCCTCCTCCTGGCCCTCTGGCTGGTCCTCTCGCTCGGGCTCCGCGGGGATCTGAGGTTCTGGAAACCCATCGATCCAAAAAACACCGTGCCTCTCTCACAGCAGCTGCATCTTACTGATCGTCTTCCTGCCAAAGATGAGGGTGTCCCCCTGCTGGGTGCACCCCTTTAGTGAAAGCCCGAAGTAGGTGGCCAGGCGGGTGATGAGGGGGCCGCAGTGGAGGCTCTTCAGTTCTGTAGCAGTCTTCTCGAAGGTCTTGGCCACCACCGAACCCAGGTGGAGAGGATGGTTGTGCTGGCGGATCGAAAGGATGAAGTACATGGCCCTCTTCGTGATGGCGCTGGCACTGTCTGTCGCGGGGGTGTAAGACTTCGCCAGCAGGTGGTGGAGAAGGCGGTTGTCAAGCAGCAGGGTAGATGCCTTCGTCCTCCAGGCCCGGAAGGGACGCGTCTGGCCTGGCCGAGCCAGGCGGGTGTACAGCCTCCCGAAGTCCACCTCCGGCGGATCATTGACCTCGGTGATGTAGTGCCTACGGTCGTCGTGGTCGAGGTCGAGAGCCTCGGCCAGCTCGTGGTAGCTCATGGACCGGGGGGCACCGCCTAGCCAGAATTGGACGGCTGTACCGTCCTTCCAATCGGTCGTGGAATTGTGCCTGAGGGATTCCGCACGGCCGTGCAAAGTGCACATTTGGCCGTGCGGATTTTGCCGAGAGCTCGCACAGCCAGGTGAAAAATTCCACACGGCCGTGCAAGGAAATTTTTGCCCGTGTCGGCCACACGGCCAGGCCAGGCCAAGCCACACGGCCGTGCAAATTTGCACTTTTGGCCGTGTGATTTTTGCCGAGAGCTTGCACGGCCAGGGGAAAAATTCCACACGGCCGTGCAAGTTTGTGACCTGGCCGTGCGCAGTGCTGGAGCCCCGAATTCAACCTGTTTTCACTCAAAAACGACACTTGACTCTGGATCAACATCTCAAGACTCAAAAACACAAAAAATCAAAGGAAAAAGAGTAAGAAAATGCAAACCTCGGTGGGGTTGCCTCCCCACAAGCGCTTCTTTACCGTCTTTTAGCTGGACGCCATTAGAGGAACTAAGGGTCCTCGAGCTTGATCAGCAGCTCTGCGCGCTCGACAGCACCTCCCAAGTACAATTTTAGGAGGTGGCCATTCACCTTGAATGGCTCGGTTTGAGCATTGCTGATCTCCACCGCACCATGCGGGAAAACTTGGGTCACCGTGAAGGGACCCGACCACCTCGAACGGAGCTTGCCCGGAAAGAGTTTCAGGCGTGCATTGAAGAGCAGAACACGATCACCTACCTGAAACTCCTTCGGGCCCCTCAACCTAGCATCGTGGAGACGCTTGGTGCGCTCTTTGTAGAGCAGGGTGTTCTCGTAGGCGTGGTAACGCCACTCCTCCAACTCCAGCAGCTGCAACTTACGTTCTGTACCTGCAACACTCAAATCCATGTTTAGCAACTTAATGGCCCAGAAGGCCTTGTGCTCTAGCTCTACCGGCAAATGGAACGCCTTCCCATAGACAAGCCTATAGGGAGAGGTGCCAATTGGATTTTTATGGGCAGTCCTATACGCCCAGAGAGCATCATCAAGCTTGGTGGACCAATCCTTGCGGGACTGATCCACCGTCTTTTCAATTCTCCGTTTTAATTCCCGGTTCGTCAGCTCGGCCTGCCCATTTGACTGGGGATGGTAGGCCACCGACACCTGATGCTTAACGCCATAGCGAGAGAGGAGTTTAGTGAATTGCCCCTGAAAATGGGTTCCTCTATCACTAATAATGGCGCGAGGTGTCCCGAACCGGGAGAACAGCTGCTTCAGAAATGAGCAGACCCGTCATGCATCATTGGTGGGCATGGCTTGAGCTTCTGCCCACCTCGAGACGTAGTCCACTGCAACCAATATGTACAAATTGCCAAAAGATGGAGGGAATGGGCCCATGAAATCGATACCCCAAACATCAAAAATTTCACAAATAACAGAGATATGTTGGGGCATCTCATCCCGGGCATAAATGTTACCTGACCTTTGGCAGCGGTCACACTGTCGTGCGAAGGTGTCTGCATCCTTGAAGAGCTAGGGCCAATAGAAGCCCGACTGTAGCACCTTCCGCGCCGTGCGGTTTCCTCCATGATGACCGCCAGTAGGTCCCTCGTGACATTGAGACAGGATGTCTCCCATCTCATGCTCCATGACACAGCGCCGGATCACGCCATCTGCTCCGATTCTGAAGAGGTAAGGATCCTCCCAGAAGTAGTGCTTCAGATCGGAGAAGAACTTGCGCTTTGCATGAGTAGCCATCCCCTTGGGTAACTGCTTGCCCACCAGGTAATTGGCAAAGTCAGGATACCAAGGGGCCACGCTGTCCACCAGGGTCATCGCCAGCAATCGCTCACCCGGGATGGAGCCGTCGATCTCTTCCTCGAAGTTGTCCACCGGAGGGGCTTCCAACCGTGAAAGATGATCTGCAGCAACATTCTCGGCTCCCTTCTTGTCCCGGATCTCGATATCAAACTCCTGCAGCAGTAGGATCCAGCGGATGAGCCTAGGCTTTGCATCAGCCTTGCTCATCAGGTAGCGAATCGCCGAGTGGTCAGTGTAGACCACCACATGGGAGAGCACCAGATAGGGTCGGAACTTGTCGAACGCATACACCACAGCGAGGAGCTCCTTCTCTGTGGTGGTGTAATTCTCCTGTGCATCGTTCAAGGTCTTCGACGCGTAGTAGATGGGCTGGAAGTGCTTCTCGCGTCTCTGACCCAGAACTGCTCCGACTGCATAGTCACTCGCATCGCACATCAGCTCAAAAGGAAGAGACCAGTCACGAGTCACCATGATAGGTGCATGGGTAAGCTTCTCCTTCAGAGTCTCAAATGCAGATGTGCACTCGGGAGTGAACAGGAATGGTGCATCCTTCTCCAGCAACTTGGTCAAAGGCAGGGCAATCTTCGAGAAATCTTTGATGAAGCGCCGGTAAAAGCCTGCATGACCCAGAAAGCTGCGAAATCCCTTCACAGAGACGGGAGGAGGTAGCTGACTGATCGTCTCAATCTTCGCGCGATCTACCTCAATCCCCTGCTTGGAGATCTTGTGCCCGAGCACAATACCTTCACGAACCATAAAATGGCACTTCTCCCAGCTGAGTGCCAAATTTGTCTCCTCGCACCTCTTCAGAACGAGTTCCAGGTTATGGAGACAGTGAGTGAAGGAGTCTCCATATACCGAGAAATCATCCATGAAGACTTCCATGATCTCTCCAACCAGTCGGTCGAAAATAGGCAACTTAAGGTTCACATCCATAGCAAATACACCCGCAAACTACATCATTAAGGGCCCCAACCGGTGGCCACAACATGGCATGAAAGACAGGCATTTCATCGAACACCTTGTGTGCACTATTGAGTTAAGCATGAAATTGGCAAAATTCTTGCACACAAGGGCTTAAACAAGCAAGGGGGACTTTGCCCAACACAATTCAAACACATTCCATGCATTCCCCTCAATCAATTGCGCAAAAATCACAAGATTCAATAAGGTTCTCTAAACATACACCCTACACACCCAATTCTCCACAATTAACATAGTTAAGGGCAAAATCAAACCTGGAGACTCAAGTAGAGGTGTAGGGGATGATGAGGGGAAGGCGATGGAAGCGACGAAACGCCGAAAAAGTTGCCGGAAGTGCTCGTCGGAGCCTCGCCGGAGTCTCGCCGGAAATCGCCTCCGGCGACTAAAACGTCGTCCAAATTCGCTCAAAATGGAGGGATAGGCCGCTTTGGGTGTAGAAAGGGTGGGTTTGTTGTTGGTTTGGTGAAAAAATGACCCAAAGTGGCCGAAAAAATCGAAAAGGGGGTTTTGTCGCGGTTTTCCGG